AAGAGGTCCCCAAAAGCTGAAAGCCTGGACTAAAATTTTGGGTTTTAGACATAAAAATTTCACTTCCAGGAATTTATTCTAACAGTATAACTAGACTACTGTCCAAACATGTACATAAATGGATATTCATCGCAATGTTTTTTTACAGTAGCAGAAACATGGGTCATTTATCTCATATTTTTCTGTATTTTTAATTTTATGACAAGTTGTATCACTTTTTATAGTCATAAATCAAGAATAAAGGAATAAAGTCAGAGAAGCAAGCAAACAAACACAAATTACTTAGGTAAGCCTTCCTCATAGCACTTCGTTCATATTTTTATTATATTATTCATAATATAATTTTGAAATCTCCCCAATGTACTGTCCCTGTCAGGAATCTAGTTTCTTTCCTTGCAAGCTCTCAGTTATTATTGGCTCATGGAAGAGAAGTCATACGTCACCTGGGGAAGGTCATTCCTAACCAACAGGGAGGGGTGCTGGTAGAAGCTGGCGGGGAGGTTTAGAGAGGATAAACAAGTGTTAAGATACTGCCTGCATCACTGAAAAGGTTCTCACTTACGTTTCAGCTACAAAATTGCAATCTTCTCAAATAAGCAGGGACTATAGATTATCTGGAGCCCTAGTGGCGCCAGCGATTAAGTGTTTGGCGGCCGACCAAAAGGTCAGCAGTTCAAATCCACCAGGCGCTCTTTGGAAACTCTATGGGGCAGTTCTACTCTGTCCTATAGGGTTGCTATGAATCAGAATTGACTTGACCGCAATGGGTTTGAGTTTTTTTTCTTTTTGGTGGAGTATCCAACTTTGTATAACTAGTACTAAAACCAAGTCTCACATATACTGGGTGCCCCAAAACATTTATTATTAAATAAATGATTAATTAAGCTTGCTTTCATAATTTTATTTTGAAACTTTCAAAACAAGTGAAAAATTTTGGAGAGAATATACTTACAATTGAATCGAAGGCTTAAACTTCTTTCTGAAATCAAGTCTTAATGGGCAGCCATATGATTCCCAATCATATTTTACTTTCTAGAAAAGGAAAAAT